CACAGGCAAAGCTAAAGTTCAGACTCAACTGACAAACCAGCCCTTTGTAAACTCAATTGCAGCTTTATTTTATCCATAACACTCTCATAAATATGAAGACACTCTCAAAGTTCACAGGAACTTTTCTGCTAATTAGAGGACAATTTATCTTCTTACCTTTAAGGAACATTGCACTTGGGCCAGGGATTTAGCTCAGTGGCACTGCGCCTGCCTCGCAAGCCCAAGGTCCTGAGTTTGATCCTTGATAACCAAAAAAAGAAAAGAAACACTGCACTGGCTTAAAAAATTTGAAAACTAATGTTTTCTTTTAAGTGCAGTTTTTTTACACCTCCACAACCTGTACAGTTTGAATGCTGCAAAGGGAGATGTGACGAAATGTCAGACTTATAAATAATTCAAAATTCAAAACTTATACAATGTATTTAAGAAATGTAGTCACAGATTTCAATTATGATGATACCTCCACCATGAAGTACCCAGAAAAGGCTTGGAAACCTCACGAGTGATACTCATCACCACATCTGCATCATAGACTACTTTCCTGGATCACCCTTTCAATGTGCACATTCAAGTTACAAACAAAACATGCATCTGCAGACTGGGGGATGGGGGTGGGGGGTGGGTGCAAGGACAGTGCTGTGCTTACTTCTCTGCACCCCAGCAGGCAGCAGAGCACCCAAGAGTAACATCCATCCTGCTCCCCTCTCCCATCATCCCCTGGTACAGGGGCGAAACAAGCAATTTCAGAACTTCTATTTCTCATACAACACGGTAAGTGGTACCTAGAGTTGGACTTGTCATATTAAAGGTGAAGCAGACACCTGTGGGGTGACCTGGGAATCTGCCTACTTAGTTTAAGGTTCTCACAGGAAGTATTTTTGCATTGCCCTGAAGCCAGCATACATAGGCCTTTACGGTACAACCCATGCTACCAAAGAGAGGGGCACCTCCAGGTGGACTTCAGAGTTAACATATCCTCCTGGTTTGTGCCGCTGCCTGCCTCAAAAGCTCAAGGTCCGGAGTTCAATCCCTGGTACCAAAAAAAAAAACCCCAAACCATATCCTGGTTTGACTTAATTGAAATATATATATTATTGTAGAAGTTGGAAGGGATACGACAAAGTCCAGCCCTCTCATTTTCAAATCAAGAAAATTGTGGCCCATGATCACATAGGCAGTTCAGCAGACCTTGGACTGGAACATAAACTGAACTCTAATGCAGGGTTCTTTCTGTTGTGAAGGTACAAATACTGTCCTCGTCTGTAAGGCTGAGCGTTTCTAAGCGCAGGCTCCCTTCCAACATACCTATGACCAGTGTTAAGGTTTTGTTGCTGTTTACAACAGGTCGTTGGCCTTGTAAGCACAACATCTTACCCTGAAAATATCACTCGTTATCAAGCCCATGCAGTCCAGCACATCACACCCAAGCCACTCCTCTGCCCAACACAGGCATTCTCCATCTCCAGGGCCACCCCACTCCCCACACCCTTCTCACTTTTATCTACCCATCCTGCTGGTCAGTTATTTCCCGAGCTTCTGCATTCAGGCAAGCTGACTTGCTGCCAGGCCGGCTAGGACCCATATATTCAGTATATTTGATTGTGAGTTCCTACTGTGTGCAGGTGTTTGTGCCAACCTTGGGCTCCTCTCCACAAGGGTCACTTCATCAAGGAAGCCCTGCATAACATCTTGGAGATTCTGGCCTTCAAGCTCCTTTAACTGTGAATCCCATTAAGGAACAGTTTACCTTTACACATCCCTTTCAACTACTCTCAAATAAATAACTCACATGTTTAACAGAAAAGTCTTACTATGTATGATAAACTGATATTCTTCATTCAATTTCATTTCATTTTCAAAAAGCCCTGTTTGACAAAGAGATTGGCACTCCAATGTCAAGCACCAAGGTGTGGAAACTGTACATGCTCATCCATGGAAAAATGGGTAGAGGGAATGCAGTATATACAACCAATGGAATATTACTTGCCCTTAAAAGAAATCCTGCCATGTGTGATAACCTGAATTTTACACTATGTAAAATAAATCTTTCACAACAGGACAAATACTGTATTCTTTCATCTCGCAGGAGCTACCTAAAATATTTAAACTCCTAAAAAAATTTTTTTTAACTCCTAGGACCAGGGTGTAGGACAGTGGTGGCCAGGGCTGGGGTGAGGGGGAAATAAAGAGTTGCTAATCAGGGGCTGGGGATTTAGCTCAGTGGTTCCACTGCCTGCCTTGCAAGTGAAAGGACCCGAGCTTGATCCCCCGTACCAAAAAAAAAGAAAAGATAAGTCCTTTGGGCCTGAGATTTAGCTCAGTGGTTTCACCGCGTGCTGCGCAAGCGAAAGGACCAAAGTTCGATCCCCAGTGCCACAAAAAACAAAAACACACCATTTTGGGCCGGGGATTTAGCTCAGCGGTTGCGCCTGCCTCGCCAGCGAAAAGTCCCAATTTTGATCCCCGGTACCAAAAAAAAAAAGGGTTGGTAATCAATGACCACAAAGTTTTAATTATGAAAGATGAACAAATTCCAGAGACATGTATAACCCTGTTTCTGTAGTTAACAATACTGTACTGCACACTTCAAAATGCAGATCTTATGGTTAAGTATTCTTACCTACAAAAAAAGTCCCCAATGGAATCCTCTATTTCTCAACCCACTAATGGATCATGAATTGTAGTTCAAAACAGCATGTTCTACCTAACAAGAGGGAGGTGACTGGGATGAGGCTAGAGTAGGCAGAGGTGTCAGTAAACACGGGGGGTGAGCTAAGGACCAACAGCCAGGTGGAGGCTGCAGGCCCACTAAGGTGCTATTCAGGATCAGGAGCAGGGGCAGCCATCAGGGGCAGCCATGGAGATCTTAACCTTTGCCCTTCTGTCAGGTTGTCTATTTCCAACTGTCAACATTTGAAGGCAGGAATGGTATTCCTGAAAAATTTACATTCTGCCCAGAGCCATGACTGAAGCAGAATTGAATACAGTAAGTGAGCAGATTTTTTCATCTAAGGTAACTTTTTACCTTAAACTTTCTGTTATCAGTAAACCCCAAACTCTGAAGGATGCTAATTTGTTGGATGGTGGGGGACAAAGGAAGGTGTGAGAAAGAAAAGAATCTAAGGGGAGAAAACAGATAGGAAAACCCTAAAATGATGGTAAAAGAGGAAGCATCAAGTCAAGTTTTTAAAAAATCTTATTTGTAGCTTTGTATTTCATTTATGATACAATATTTAGAACATGAAATTTAAAGATGCAGTCTCAAAAAACAGTGAAGTTTCACAGGACGTCTGTGACACATTTTTATGTAAGACCAGTGCCACCCACTGAGTTCTGATGCTCAACAGTTCTGCTAAGTATTACCTTTTCAGGAAGCACTGTTACCTGGCTGAAGTGCTGGACCCAATTTCTCCCCTTATAAAAGCATAAAACAAGTGCAACCCTTGTATTATCACTTTTTCCATCTCCCTTGATCTTTTGGGGAGGGGAGGCAAACCTATTACTATTAACCCTGTCTCCAGGAGAGTCTGTGCAAGTGGAAACATTGGGCTGCACTCTTGGTTCTTTTATCGTGTTTACTCAACAACTGCAAATTGCTTTAAATAGGTAGTTGTAGCTATATATGGTGATCATGTCTGCAACCCAGCACTCTGGGAGGCTGAGGCAGGAGGTTCTTAAGTTTGAGCCGTCTGGGCAACTCAGTGAGACCCTGCCTGCTTCAATAAAAAAGAAGAAAAAATATCTTTTAAAAAGGGGTTGGAGACGTACCTCAGAGCAAAAGGCCCTGAGTTCCAAGTAAAGAGTAGGGGGATCAGTTTTAAGTGCTCTTCTTGCCCACAGGAGAAACACTTTTCAAAAGGACACTAGGGGCTCAGGGAGGGTCCTGCATGAAGATCTGTGGGAGGTGGGGGGGTTTCTCTAGAGATCTCTGTACCAGAATGTGCTGTCTCCACTGATGCAGTTCTACCCGGGACAGTGCCTTTTTTTGGTAGTCCTAATTAAAAGTCAAAAAACAAAACTTTAATGCCACAAGTACTGTACCAGATACCCACCCTACCAGGCACATGGCCCTAGGGAAACAGGTGCACAAAAAGGAAGCGTCCCTATCCACCTCGGCTAACGCTTCCCCCTTCGGTGAGACAGCACACACCAATGGATCGGTACATGTCTGGTGCACCGAGGCAACGAACTCCAGATGAAAACCGAAGAACTGTCACCACATGCTGTGCGTTTCTTTTCTGTCCAATGTGTGACGGGCCATTTTGATAGAAAAGTCAATTCCTGGCCATTACACTTATCTAATTTAAAACAACACAACTCCTTCAGCTGTACAAGAACGGCCTACCGACCTTCGCAACTGAAAACCTTTTCGCTAGGTGTGCTGCACTGGCAAAGCAGCACTCTCTTGGAGTCCTCACAACACTGACCACAATTAGATCGATTACAGGCCTGGCAAACCACTAAGGGCAAATGCAAAAACACGAAAATCAGAGACAGACTTCTCTAGAAATTAATCAATTATATGTACGGAACACCAATCTACTTTTTTTTAATAGGAAGAGGGGACACAAAAGACTTCATCCAAGTTCTCATCCCGCTGCTTTCAAGACCACTGGGACAGACAAAGCTTCCACACCGTAAGCGGAGCGCTCACCTCCGGCAGAGCACCGCGCCACTGAAGTTCGGGCGGCTGCGGGCCCGCACATCCTCACTCCGAAGGTGCGGGCGTCCTTACAGCTACACGGGACAAGGAAACTTTCTCCCCCCTTAGAAAAACTGAATAGTGATTTATTAGTTTCAATTTACAAAGTTTAAGGGAGGGCACCTAGAAGAAGGTAGAGAAGTTTGAAAGGAGACACCTGGCTGAGGAAGACTGCAGCACACGCCCCACAGACCCATCTCCGAAAGCGAGGGGCCCCGAGCAGAACCCGGCCCGGCCCCACGAGGCCAGAGCACCGCGGCCGGACCGGGTGGCGGCTCCCGCCCGGCGGCGCGCTCACCTCGTCGCCCCACTTGAGCACGTCCTTCTGCCGGTCCTTGACGGCGTGGTAGATGTGCAGGAACTGCAGGATGCCGTGCCGCCGCACGTGGTCAGCGTGGCGCCGGGTCTCCTCCCAGCTCAGCGGCGAGCCCTGGGACAGAAGCCCCATGGCCCCGCTCGACAGCGCTCAGCCTTCAGTCGCTCCGACACGGGCGACACGCCGCCGGGTGACTGACCGGCCGGCGCGGCGGGCGGGACAGGGCGGAGGCGGGGCCCTGGAGGCTCCCGGCCCAGCGGCCGCGCCCTCGCCTGCTACTCCCGCACCGAGGCGGCTGCGGACCCCGGGCCCGGCGAAGCGGCGGCCCCGCTTCCCCGCGCTGGTGTCGCCTACTGGCTTCTTCCTACTTGTGACCAAAGGCTGCGCCGCAGCCACCGAGCATGCCCAGTACCGCATCCGCCGACCCGCTGCTCCTCCGCAAGATCCGGCGCTCCGCATCTTATGGGCCACGGTCGGGGGCGGAGAAAGAGGCGGGGAGGAGGCGGGGCGGAGGCGGAGGGGGGGGGCTGGCCCAGAATCCTTGGCGCGTAGGGCCTGCGGGCGTGGTGGGGGCGGGGACTCGCTGGGGCGGGGCGGGGCGAAGCAAGGGAGGGGCTGCTCATTAAGAAATATGGTGGGGAAAATAGGTTTTTCAAAATAAAGAGATAATCCCAGTTGGGAAAAAAGGTGATTACTTGAACTAGTTAAGAACCTACCAGATTACTTTTTAGGCGGAAAAGGTCCTATTTATAAAGGCAGGGTGAGAGCAGCACGAAGTGTGAAAAGCACTAATTCGTGAGACAGGTAAAACATTCAACTCTACAGTCCACCATTTATTTGTTTCTTTTGCTTTTGTTTTTGGTACGGGGGATCGAACTCGGGACCTTGCTCTTGCAAGGCAGGCGGTGGAACCACTGAGCTAAATACCCAGCCCTTACAGTCCACCATTTATTTACTGACTGCGAGACATTTTTCCTATATGAAAATAAATTAGTCCAATCGTTTATTGGTGTTATAAGGATTATACAGTGTAAATGTGCAAAGAGTTCATGGCCAATAAATTAACCTGGTTATTAAGAGTTGATTCATCCACAAGGTTTTGGACAAAAGCATCATATTTGTATAGCCTCTAAACTGGTACTATGTTCTCTGGGTGGTGCAGACACCATTCAAGGCAACAGAAGGGGCTTTGTGAAATTTTCCAGATAGGCCACAGTAGGAGCCTTCACCAAAAGTTTGTCTGCCATCCAAACTTAAGATTCATCCAAGACCTCAACGGGCTAGGGGGAAGATGACAGCAATTGTGTTACAAAGGCACTGTGGCCAAGGATTGTGTTTATTATGCTCCCTTTCTTCAAACTGGATATAACATCTGATAAACTCTTACTGATTGCTGCATGAGTTTTTGATAGTAGTCTTTACCCACCACTTTTCTGCTGGGGGTGCCTAGGAACACAGATATGGAAGGTCTGGCTGTGGCTGTTTGTGTGCGGGGGAGCCCGTGTGTATGGCCGGAGATGTGCTGAGCTCAGAAGATGTTTCAATCCCTAGCACACAGCTAGAGGTTCATGCCTATAAACCCAGTTACTCCAGAGGCCGAGACAAGAGGACCACTATTTCAAAATCAGCCTGGACAGTTTAGGGAGATTCTGTCCCAAGATTAAAAAAAAAAAAAAAAAAAGTGGGGCTGGGAATCTGGTGCAGCCACCCCTCATCGTGTCATCTTGCCTAACACGTGTGGCCCTGGCTCTCTGCTTTTCTGCTTGGAATTCCCACCTGACACACTCCTGCTCACCCTCTGAGTCCCAGTCACCCTCGCTGTATTTTGGTTGAATTCGTACACGCCCCTCTATATGATAGGATCGTTTTAAAACACACTTGATAGTGACTTCTTTAGGAATAGAGACGACGTCTGCTTTTTTGTACATTTATCTCTGGAAAAGTGCTTGGTGTAGAGTAAGTGCTTAATAAATGTTAGCTTCCCTGTAGAAAGCAGATAGTGGGAAGGGGAGAGAGTGTTTCCCTTGCAGATAAGGCATCCAAAGAGCATTTGGTTAATTGCATAATCTCACATTTCATAGACCTGCATTGTCCAACACAATAGCCACCAACTACGAGTGGCTCTTAAGCTTTTTCAAAGTGAATAACATGACTAAAAACCTGATTATTTATCTCTATTAACTGACCTGGATATAAACTTGAAGTGTTATTCCATTCGGTAATCAAAAAACTTTTAAGTAAATTTGGAACAAGTTGGGAATGTGACTCCACTGAATTTTCAACTGTCGATTTTATGAAATCCAAATGCAAATGAAGTTATTTCCAAAGCAAATTTAGTAGTCCAGGTGTATATGTAATACACACATCAGATTCAAATCAGTACAAAAAAGAATGTAAATATCTCATTAGAAGTGTTGTATCTCAGATATATTGAATTAAATTAAGATCAGTATATTTAATTTCCCTGCTTCCTTTTAGTTCTTAAACGTGGCCACATACGGCTTTAAGGTTACATACATGGCTCACACCGCACTTTGTGGATACAGCTACTTTACATTCTGCAAAGCGGACCTCCCCACACCACGGTGGGGCCTGCATGGCGAGGCCCAGCCCCGGCTCGGTTCCGTTCTGTCCTGGGCATCCTGCCGCCTGCGTAGCTCCTGCCCGGGTTGCAGCTCACATTCGCACGGGGCCTCCCCACCCAATCCAGGAGTCTCGGGGCTTGGGACCACCCCAATCTCCATGGGGCACGCGCGTGGTCAGCAGACTGTGCCCTCCTGGGGCACAGGCAGGTCTTTCCCAATCACACGCCGCGGTTCCTGAGCGATGACTCCAGGTGCGACTCGCCGCGGCCAAGACCCGCTACCCTGCGGGTAGCCGCGCACACCCTCTCCAGCCGCCACGAAAACTCGGACTGCGGAGCGCACGGCCTGGGGCGCACGGCCACAGAGCGCATGCGCAGCGGAGGCGGGAGGAAGCGCACGCCACACCGTTGTTGTGGTCTGGACCCCGCCGCGTGACGCGCCGGTGCCGCCTCACCGTGACTCAGCACTCCTCGGCGGACGGGCGAGGGGGCTCTAGTGGTGTGTCCCAGCGGCCCCTGTATCCCGGGTCCCGCCTGAGGCGGCGCCAGAGGCCCCCTGGACCAGGCCCTTCGCGGGCCAGAGGTGCCTTGGCCCTGTGTCCCGGCGCGGCCCTCAGTGGGTCGGGCAGCGAACTGCTGACCGTGGCCGCAGAGCGGACCGGGTCTTCGCAGAGCGATGCTCCTGGGGCTGCTGCACGGCCGGCCCGGCCCCTAGGGGCTCCTTCAGCGCAGCCCTCGGGCGGGAGATGCTGTGGCCTTGGGTGAAAAGACCCTTGATTTGTAGGAAATTATTTCTTCACTTCAGTGCACAGGATAGTGAAGTATCAAAGACGTAGAAGGGATTTTCTCCCTGCGGGTAAATGAATTATACTTGGAATTTGATAATACTCAAGAAGGTCCCCAGTGGCTTACAAGAGGAGAGCAAGTCTAAAGGACAGGTTTTCATTCCAGGTCAGAGAATAACTCACGGTGTCAGAGCAAGGCAAGTTGTGTTTACCATCAGTAGATCCTTTCCTCAGCACCTGTGCAAATGGGAGCCGGGAGACGATCTGTCTGAATGGCCCAGTGTCAGTACTGTGTACGGAGTTGAAAACATGCTTGTCCTTTGTATTGTGTAGTATTTCTAATACAGGCTGTTGAGATGTGTTGTTGTCATTTTAAATTTAAAAAACGCAAAGTAGCTCTTTTGTCTTGCTTTTTAAACTGATTTTTGGTTAATGGGTTTTTGATAAAGTTGCTCATTTTCTTTTTTATTATTTATTTACTGGCTTTTTGAGATAAGGGCTCCCTACTTAGTTCAGGCTGACCTTGAACTCACTATTGTAAGACCCAGGGCCTTACCAAACGCTCCGAGGAGCTGACTGCAGCAGAGAACACCCGGGAGGGAACACACCGGACAAGTTGGAAAAGTAAAACAGACCTTTATTAGTCTGACCAGATGGCACCCTCCAAGCAAACAAGCTTAGAGAGGGCCCCGAGCTCAGGGTGTTGGAAGGTTTTATAGGGGCTGCAGGGGTACTTAGCAAGCAGAACTACAGAAGTGGAATTTTTGCAGTTAGGGGATGGTTGGGGGGGGGGGTTGCAGATGTTCTTTACTTCGCAAACAGGATGTTCCTTACACAGAAACAATGGTACCTTCCATGGTGTCTTAACAGACAAATAAGTACATTCTGGGAACTCTGTGTCCTGTAGTGAACCCAAAACCCACAGGGACAAGATGGAGGGCCTGTAACAAGATGGCGTTACTTGTGCTAAGTCTCATCTGGGTCTTACACTATATACCCCAGGCTGGCCTAGTACTCAAAGAGGCCCTCCTGCCTCAGCTTCTCCAATGCTGGGATTATAGGCTGCACCAGCTTGCCCAGTCTAAACTTGCTCATTTTCATGTAGTTACTAAAGGTCTGTGTAGTGCAGTGACATCCTTCTTAAAGATGGAGATGCTCAAGTGTGTTAAAGAGATGGGTAAGGATCAGCGAGGTGCAAGACTAAAGATACAGGAACAAGAAAAGATGCTTTAGAAGCGAGATCTCTCAGGAAACATGACTTGATGGGATCCAGAGTTCATGAGTATTGGTGAGCTTTTTCTCCAGACTAGGAAAAAAAGGAAAATTGTGCTAAGAGATGTTAAGGAAAAAGAAGGTATGATCACAAAATACAGTGAACATGTAAATTTTTAAAAAATATATTACAGTAAAAGACATACTGCCATTAATATCCTTCAGTATTCCCCAGCACTTTCATATACTCATCCTGTCATTCTTGAAGCAGTTCTTTCATGAATGTGTTTAGTTGCACTGCCCTGGCTCCCTTGATGTGCTCGATCCATTTAAAATCATTGTCTTTCATGGTCATTTTGATTTTGAAGAAGAGCTGTGAGACACTGGGTACCAGATCCGTTGGATGCAGACACGCCTCATATTGTTACAAGTCTGTCTTTGGGTGGTGCTCAGCAGCAGCATTCACCATACATATTATAAAGACATAAAACAAGACTTCCAGAACTGCTTCTGAAAGTGGCAAGAACGATGGGATAAGTGTTTGGAGTGAGGGGAAGTGTTTAGAGGACAGATTTGTGGCTCTGTCTCTTCCATAACACATTTTTTAATCTAGATGTTTACCGTGTGTGTCAGTCACATCTCCTGTGTGTGCCAAGATTATCTGATG